CACACACACACACACACACACACACACACACACACACACACACACACCCCTAAAAATAAAGACAAAATAAAGAAAAAAGTCAAATGCAAATTTCAGAAAAAATTTAAACACTATCAGTGATGAAGTATTTTTTGATTTATCTACAGACTAAGCTCAGCTGAGAAAGGATCAATAAACTTGAAGACACGGCAATAAAAAATATTATCCAAAATGAAACAGAGGAAAAAACCAACCAAACCAAAAGAACAGAGCTTCTAACAGCCGTGGTGTCAAGCGGCATAATGTGTGTGACTGAAGTCTCATAAAGGAATGAAAAAGGAAAACGGGTAGAAGAATTATTTGAAGAAATAAGAACATTCCAAAGTCAAGCCAAAAGAAAAGCAAAAGAAGGGCTGATGTCCTGGAGACCTCTAACCTGCCCACTCAACCAGTCACTCAGGGATCTCTCTGTCCTCCCAAACCACAAGCTGGTCTATAGCCAGTCTCTCCAAAGTATTCAGCTGAATTACTTAAAGCTTCCCTCTGACAGATGAAACTCCAGGGTTTGTTTCTGCGGTGTTACATTGCCTACTTTTCTCTGAGGAGCAGTGAGGTGAGTTACAGAGCTGGTCGTAGCCAGGGCCTCTGAAGATGGAGGAGGCGGTGCTAAGAATGTCGACTTGCTCTGAGCATGAGTGCACACAGGCAGAAAGTACAACTCTGTGGACCATGAAGGAAAAATAACCAGGCACAGTGGGCATCACTGATCACAGACTCTAAGCCATAAAACTGGATCAGTTATTATGATCTACTGTTAATAAGAGATCTTGGCTGCTGAAAGGAATTAAAACTGGTAAACTTGAGTTTGAATCTTGGCTCTGGTACTTACTAACTGAGGTAACTGACTTCATCTTTGGGTGGTTTTTTGTATGTTTGTTTGTTTGTTGAGACAGGGTCCTACTGTGTAGCTGCGGGGGCTGTGAGGTAAACACACAGTACACACAATGTCCAATTTAGAACCTGCAAATAATCGGTAAAAATGAAGTGGGCTTATGCTAGATGATCACTGAACTGTGTCCCTCCAAAGGATAGATTTAGGTCCTGCTGCTAGGGTACTTAATGCATGTAATCAAGTTGGGTTGATGGGACAATGGATTAGAGAGGGTTCTAAGTCCAGTGGTCTGTGCCTTCATAGTGAGAGCCATAGAAACACAGGTATACAACGTGGGCAGATGATAATGTTTAGAAAAATAGAGTGAGCGAGTGAAATAGCTACAAGCCAATGGAAGCCAGAGAGTGGTGACACTTGGTCTGCTGGTTCCCCACAGGCCCGTGTTTTGATCACCTGTCCCCGGCTGGTAGTGCTACTTGGGAAGGCTGTGGCACACTTAGGCTCCAGGCCTAGCGAGGTGGCTAGAGGTAGGCATGAAGGTTACACATTGCACCAGTCCCTGGCTCTGGCACTGTCTATGCTTTTGGATCTATCACTATGCGAACAGTGGGTCCCACGTGGCCACCGTGAACTGAATTGCTCTGCCATCCTTCCTTGCCATGATAGACAGAGCCCACTGAAGCCAGGAACCAGAGTCAACGCTTCCTCCTGGAAGCTGTTTCTGCCAGATATTTGGTTGAAATGATATAAAAGTCGTGAACACAGAAAACTGGCGCTAGGAAGTAGGGATCCCTGTTGCAACTGGCCTGGCCATGCCACTCTGAGGGCTCTGGAACCGCCTCCCAGCAGAAGAGAAGAGCTGAAAGCTGAAGAGTCTCAGCGTGATGTCTTTTCTTGTGGGAATCCAGAAGCTAGAACATCAACAGAAGTGAGAACATCAGTACTTGTGAAGCTTCGCGTGGGAACAAGGGCTTTAACGCACTGAACAACAGCCCTCACTGAAAATCTGAGTGAGGCTAAAGGAAAAAGAAAAAAGAAAACAACTTGGCAGAAGAAATGTTAAGCCACAATAGCATTCTGCTTGTGATATGGTTACCACTGTTGTCTTTTATCGTGAGACGTCAGAGAAGAACGCATAGAGCAGAAAATGAAAAGCAAACAATTTGGCCAGAATGCGCTTAAAGTCGCAGACTAAAGAAACTGGAAGAAGAAGCATGATTGTCAAGAGAAGAGCACCACTTGGGTCTGGGACAACACCAGTTCTTTGATGGCATTTTAGGAGGGAAGTGGCAGGCTTACACACAATTGAAGGCCCCAGTGTGTAAGATGTGACATTCATTTAGGAGATTTTGCACGAGAGGAGGGGTAGCCAAAGCACTCTGCTGGAGAAGGGCTGCCTAGAGAAGTGTTTCGGAGCTTACTCGCCTAACCACTCAGGGGCAGCTGCAGCCATGGTCCAAACAGGCCTGGAGGCACCCCGGGCTATCAAGCAGAGCCTGCCATTGTGACATCGTACATATGGCTTTGCTGGCGCGCTGAATTCGACAACGACAGAGTCATGATGGCATGACTGAAGTTTATGTCTGTTGTGAATGGAGGTCAGAGGACACCTCAGATTTTGTTCGCCAGGACCCGCCAACCTTGCTTCTTAAGATAAGAGCTTGCCAAGTGAGTCCCAGGGAGTCACCTATCTCTGCCTTCCTAGTGCTGGGATGACAAGCAGGTGTCAGTCACTGTCCAGCTGAGCCATCTCCCTGGGAATCCTACATCAACCTTTTTAAAGAAGGCCCAGGAGGCCATCACTAAGCAGCAGTGTCAGATTCCCAGAGGGAAGTCCCTCACAGACTATATGTGAGGCTATGAGAGTAAAGCATAAGTGTCAACAGAGACCTTGGCACATGCGAGAAACATGGGATATCTGTTCATAAAAGCTGAAAGCAAACAGAGGATATATGTGTTACACGTGGCAGGGTCATGTGGGCAGGGCTGCTCAAGCACGAAGAGTATCCGGATGGCGGCAACAACACTAGGATTTCATATGCACCCAGCTTGGCTTGAACTTGCTTTGGTCCAGCCTTTCCTTACTGCTCTCCTCCTGCTGTTTGGAAATGAGAATGTTGACTCCTGCACTGTGTATCAGGAGTATACAACTCCTTTCGGTATTACAGGGGAAACAGTTCAAAGTTTGCCTGCATTTCCGAAAAGACTTTAGACATTCCAAGAGTTGGGACTGTTAAGCCTGGGGTGGGAGGCTGGAGAGATGACTCAGTGGATAAGAGCAGTGCCTGTTCTTCTAGGGGACTTGAGCTCAATTCCCAGCACCCCCACAGCTTCTCATGACTATCTGTGACTCAAGTTCCAGAGGACCCAGCCTCTGAGGATACCGGGCATGCATGTGGTACACAAATAAACACACAGCCAAAGCATCTACACACAAAATAAAAATAAAATAACAAAGGCACAGATTTAAAGCGAAACTATGAGGACTTCAGTCTTAGAGTTTCCTGTGCTGAGGTAAAACACCACGACCGAAAAAGCAAGCTGGGGAGGAAGGGCTTATTCCTTATCATTGTTGATTATGAAGTCAAGACAGGAACTGAAACAGGGCAGGATCCTGGAGGCAGGAGCTGATGCAGAGACCACGGAGGGGTGCTGCTTACTGCCTTGCTCCCCATGGCTTGCTCAGCCTGCTTTATTATAGAACCCAAGACCACAAGCCCAGGGATGGCACCACCCACAGTGGGCTGGGCCCTTCCCTACTGATCATGATTGAGAAAATGCCTACAGCTGGATCTCAAGAAACTGAGGTTCCTTCCTCTCTGCTGATTCTAGTGTGTGTCAAGCTGACACCCAAAACCAGCCAGTGTAACTTCTAAGTTGGACTGAATGTATTTTACACTATGAGATACACCATGAGGAGTCTGGGGTAAATGTTACCACGTGAGTCTGAAATGTCTCTAACTGCTTAGTCTCCTACTTGGGAAGCTACGGGATGGACAAAGATGGAAGAACTAAGTTCTTCAAAGGGGCAGGCCTTTGAAGGTCATAGTTGAGCAGTGGTTCTGGCACTCCTGCTCAGCTGACACACTCTGTGGTCCTGCCACAGACCAAAGCCACCCCATCACTCCCTCCTTCCTATCACTCCCTGAAACCCCTTGGAACCCCATGGGTCTGAAGAAACCGTTTCCTGCCTTAAGTTGCTTCTCTTTTGTTTTAGTCACAGTTCCTGGAGCCTTGGGAGGGGGCATTTCCTGCAGACATCTTGATTTGGGGCTTCTGTTCTTTGTGAGAGGTAAGTTCCTATTATTTAAGCCCTACACTTTGTGATAATTCATTATGGCAGCTTTCGGAAACAAAGCTTGTGAAGGTTTTGCTCAAAATGGAGCTCCCTGCCTGTCAGAAGTGCACGCCTGGTGGCCAGGCCATCAGAGACCCTGCAGATGCAGGAAGCCATCCTTGAGGTCTCTCTTCCGCCTGTCACCTGTGACGCCCCTTTCTCAAATGTTAACATCAGGTGTCATAACTCTGATGAGGGCTCACCACTGGTAAGTGTGTGTGTGTGTGTGTGTGTGTGTGTGTGTGTGTGTGTGTGTGTGGATTAGGAGGAGGGATGAGAGAGCACAGTGTGGGAGAGGTCAAGGCTCCCGTAAAGCCTTGCCTCTTGCTGGCATCTCACACATGTGGTGGCGGCTCAAGGCACACTCAATGACAGGGCAGGAAAAATGACTTGAAGTGTTGGCAAGGTTACTGTATCAGAGGCCCCTGCGTGAGGCACAATGCCCCAGTGCCACCAACACACAGATGGAGTGACAAGAGCCCTTGAGAGCAGGCACTCTGTAGGAACAACAGTGCGGGCTAAGCCTAAAGCCTCTTCCTACTTGTCCAGGCAGCTCCAAGCCGCCACGCTGTGGGAGCACAGAGGGAACCAGGAACATTAACACATGTCAAACGTTTAAATGTTCCTTCAAAGGGAGGGATGCGCAAGCTGTTGTCTGCCCAGAGGCTGGGAGTGGGCGTGGCTAATAGCCACGACCTACACTCTGGGTGGCCACGGTAGATCCTCCAAAACCCTTATCTCGAGCTTGTCAGTCTATAGAACCTATCTTTATGGAAGGTGTCACATGCAGTCTATCTATAGAACCCATCTTTATAGAAGATGTCACATGTATACTAGAAAGAGTTTCCAGGGAGTCACATCTTAAGGCTTTATTTTGCATATGGGATTGAGTTAATTACCACCGGGAAGATTTTTGCCAAATTGTGCTATGCTTAAATATGCCTAAAATAAACTACTCGGGATAGGACTCCTGGGGTTTGAACCGCCAGCTGCTAAGTCCTGCTGAACCGTACCACCTTGTCTCCCTTGGACGTTACTCTGCTGGCCGCAGACTATGGCTAGCAGAGACAGCCGAAATAGTCCAGCCACTCAGAGCACTAGGCACGGCTATAGGTGGCCACTGTTACACACTGCTGTCCCTTCCGGACGGGAGGTCTGAGCCAGCCTGGTCTGTGCTTCAGTCCCGGGCTGAGCCACGTTGGCATCTCATGGCAGATACTTTGTGAGAACCGACAAGTGAATGAATGAATACGTGGAAAGGTAGGTGGGTGGACTTGCTGTTCCTGGTCATGCCTTCGGCACCAAACATACTTACTGTCAAAGAGGATGATCCTGCCGTCCCCACCACAGGGCTGCGTGTGGTCCCCGAAGCAGACACTGTTGCACTCGGTGCTGGCGGCCTCGCCATGCTTCCAGTAGTCAGGGTTGTTCCCACAGAAGCATGCATAGCCTGATTCCATCCCCGCAAACTGCCAAAAGAAAAGACGGTGAGGACTTCTCGGCTGGACTTCTGCACCACCAGTTGGCTATGGGGGGTTTGGGTCATGCGATCACATGATGTTGGGAATGTTGTGGGGGTGTGAGGCTCACAGGAGGCTGGCAGCCCCCTCACCCTCGAGCCCGGTCCACCCTTTCCCTGTGGCCGCTGCTTAGTTGCATTGCCCAGTCTAAGGTGGCCACGGCTTCACACCGATGTGTGAATGTCTTCCTCATGTTCTCATTCCCACTGTATTTAACCATATCTAAGGAGGACAACATCCCTTGAACATGAGGCATTGATTGAAAACAGCTAAACATTTTACTATTTGCTCTGTGCCGGGTAAGCTGGGTAAAGTTTTATTTCAAAAATTTAAATTAATTTATTTTTATATGAACAGGTGTTTTTCCTGATGCATGTCTATGCCTCAGATCTTCTGAAACTAGAGTTACAGGGAGTTGTGAGCTACTGTGTGGGTGCGGGGAATTGAACCCGGGTCCTCTGGAAGAGCAGAGGATCCTGAGCCAGCTCTCCAGCTCCTTATTGAAAAGCTAACCTTTATTTCTGTGTGCGGGTGCTCTGCCTGCATGTATGTCTGCAGGTCTGCAGGGCAGCGTACAGTGCCTGGGAGCCCGGAAGGGGATCCTGGAGCCCCTGAGACTGAGTTGCAGACGGCTCCAAACTGCCGTGTAGACGCTGGGGATCAAACCCAGGTTCTATGGGGCTTTAGTCATCTCTCCAGCCCCCAAGATGTATTTGTGTGTGTTTCTGTGCCTGTCATTCTGTGCATGCATGTGTTTGTATGTATCTGTGTGTCTGTGTACGTTCGAGTGCAGCTGAGTTACTGAGCTGCTGAACATAGGGCACCAAACTGCGCTGAGTCATCTCTCAGGCCCCAAGCCGTGCTTTAAAGTGAAATCTCACAGCAAATGCTTTTAAGCCTCGTCTGCACTTCCATTGTGTTCTTGTCGATACCCTAGCTGAGCACGTAGTCCCACAGGAGCCAGTCCTCGGGTACAGGGCAAGCTGCGCCATGCTGAGAGCCCCTCCTGCACAGCCTGGCAGCTGCTGCCCAAATTTTTTTAACAGTATCATTTTGTCATTTTGAGAGCATGAAACACCTTAAAAACAACCTTAAAAACCTGCGTGCCTGTGAGGTGCATACAGTGGCCACAGCTAACAGCTCCCTCCTCTAGCTCACTGAACACACGCTCGTATATGGACACGGCACAACTGTCCACCTGTTTCCAGGCTCTCATGACGACAGACAGAACGTCCATAAGCATCTGTGCACAGATTCTTATAAATTTCTGTTTGTCCTGGCTAATGATGAGGGGCGAGATTGTTGGGTTTAACTTTTTTAAAGAAGCCACTGGTTTCCGCGGACGGCTGAGCCAGCGATGCGTGAGAGCTTCCGCTGCTGCTCGCTTTAGCTCGCTTTAGAAGAGTGGACTCCAGCCACTCTGATGGCTGTGTGTCTCGCAGTGGCTTCGCCTTGTGCTGGCTGAAGACTGATGGTGTATGTCACCTCATCTGCTGTGTGCCCTTTGGTGATGAACTGCTTTTGCTCCTTTTGCTCATTCCAAAACCATGTTGCCTTACATTTGACTATTGGGATCTTTAGTCTTCTTACACATTTTGGATTTTGACCTTGACCGTAGGTAGAAGCACCCGTTGGGCTGAGGCCACAAACTTAACGAAAGGAAAGACTAAGCGGAGCCCGGCACCTCACCACTCTGTTTCCTGACTGTTGCAACCGCCCCATGCTCCTGACACCAGGCCTGAAAGTTCTGTCACAGCCCTGAGAACAGTGACCAACACAGGCTCCAAACACTATTCTGCTTCACACAGTTGGCTGCAGACTGTCCTTCCTAATCTAATGATCTTGGCAATTTTGTTGAAAATCAGTTGACCATGAATTTGTAGGTTTGTTTTGAAATTGTGAAGTCTATTGTTCTGTATGTCTATTTTTATGACACTCTTACAGTAACTTTTTTCTGTAGCTTACTTTAAAGTCAGTCTTTGTCTAAGCTGTGATGGAAAGTTGAAGACTCATTTTTTCTTCACAAAGAGCCACATTGTTTCTTCAGAAGCATTTGATGGCAACCCCTCACTGTTGACCGGCCCTGACACTTTCATAAGAAGCAGTTGTTTGCATCTGTGTAGGTCTGTTTCTACATGGTTTACTGATCTACAGCAGATTTCAGAAAACTTGTTTTATAAAGGGCAGAAGTCAATGTTCTGCTACATAGTCTCTTTCTCTCCCCAGCCTCATGGCCATGTAAGGAAAACAGCTACAGACAACATGTAAATGAACATGGCTCTGTTTAAGAAAACTTTATTCACCTGCACACACACACACACACACACACACACAGAAAAAGATTTGTCTGAGGGCAATTTCTGACTGGCTTCTGACTTACTTTTTTGGTGACAGTAGCTTTATGGCACAGGTCAGGTGATTAGGTCCTACATAACTGCCCTTTGCTAACATCACTGTGGTCGTCATCCTAAACCTCTGTTTTTGCATATGCATCTCAGGGTTGGTCTTTTTATTTAATTTATTTATTTTCTCACTGTTGGGGCACTGATGCTGCCCTGGCCTTGCTTGTCCTGGGCAAGCGCTTCGCTACTGGGCTGTCTCCAGTGTAGCTTGTCATTTCTTTAAAAGAAGTTCTACTTTTTATTAGGATTCTATTTAATTTATAGACTAACCTGAGGGAATCAACAACTTAAGAATATTTCTGTTGCCTCAGTTGTTAACAGGTAGGTGTATATCATTATTTGTTAGGTCTTTAGTTCTTCTCCAGTCTTATATAGTTTCTGATATGAGTTCTTAGGTCTCATTAGTTAACCTCTGCTAGAGAGCATCAGGTCATCCCCCACAGAGGTCACCCAGACACACCCATGAGATATGCAGTATTACTATTATTTGTTTAGAGGCTTAAATTATTAATTATTTGTTGCTAGTATATGGAAACAGAGATTTTTTTTATGTGAGCTTCCAGGCCAGTGAGGTAAGTGTGGGCCTTCCTGTCTGCTCATGATACTAGATAAGAAGAACCAGACCTTCACTCCTCAGTGGGTGTTAGCAGTAGGTATTTTATTTTTTAAAAGATTTATTTATTTATACATATGAGCACTCTATTTGTATGTATACCTGAATTACAGAAGAGGGCAACAGATCCTATTATAGATGGTTGTGAGCCACCGTGTGGTTGCTGGGAATTGAACTCAGGACCTCTGGAAGAGCAGCCAGTGCTCTTAACCTCTGAGCCATTTCTCCAGCCCAGCTGTAGGTATTTTAAATAGATACTTTTAATTATAGCCAGGAGCTGTGTACGGTGCATGCCTGTAAACCCAACACAGGGGAGTGGAAGGCAGGAGAACCAGGAGTTCAAGGTCAGCCTAGGCTATATGAGAAACACACACACATACTTGCTGGATTTGGGGATAGGGTCTCACCATGTGGCAGTAGTGCACCTGTAACTTGCTATGCAATTCAGCCTGGCCTCGAACTCACAGAGCTCCACCTGCCTCTGCCTCCCAAGTGCTGGGATTACAGGTGTGTGCCAGCTTGCCCGGCCATCGTGGGAGATTCCTAAGACTTCCCAGAATGGTAAGTGAAGGTTTGGGACATCTGTAGGCCTTGCTGTTCATTTTCTGAGTCTATCTTACGATGGGGCTGCCACAGGGTAGTAACCATCGTTTCTTCCATGCTCACTAGTTTATTCTCTAGTCAGAGTGTGTGTCTTCTCACCCATTCATCACTGTGGTGTCCTCCTATTTCTGTCAGCAAGAAGCGTTTATTACTATCATTATCTGAAGCTTAAACAGGTCAGATTTCGGTCATGGGACCCCTTCCAAGGTCGCTTCATCCTTTGGATGAATCTGCATTAATGCTTCTGTTCTATGCAAGACGTTCGGAACACAGCTTGTCTGTCTCAGAACCAGCACAGCAGGGGGCATTTCCTCAGAGCCTTTCTCTGGTGGAGACCCGAGTGCAGGCTGCACGCCCTATTATCAGTGTGTGGCAAGGCTCCTGCTGCGCAGTGATGAAGTGTATGTGTGTCATTGCAGTTATATTTACACCATTATCTAGCTCTCTGTGATCAAAGCCATGAATTTAGACTATCCAATCCCCTGTAACGCTACCTATGGGCTTCATTTCAGGTTTCCCCGGCTTCCACATTTGTACATCCCTTCTCCAGCAGCCAGAATAGACCGGCTTTGATACATTCACTGTATGCTCAAGCTCTACACAAGCGACCAACCACGTGGTCACAGGGGTTCAAATGTCTTGCTTATTCACCTGCCTCACGTGAGTCTGAAACCCAGGCAGGATACCCTTCTTTCTTGGGCCTAATGAATGCCTTTTAGACTGAATCAGTTAAGGAAAGAGGGAGGGAGAGAAAAACAAAAGGAAAGAGGGAGGGATCTTTTCCTGTCTAATTTAATAAAAAATAGCACTACTGAACCTTAGTGGTTGGGAAATAAATTTTGGATAAAGAAAAGAAGAGGAAGAAAGAAGAACATTTGAACAAGAGGGAAGGCCTGCAAGTTGCCTAGGAAGGGAACTGTTGCCTTGGCTTGATTCTCCATCAAGTCACTGACAGCCTTGCTTCCAACAGACAGGCGCACAAACAGATCACAACTCAGTCGGAGGCCAAAAAGGGACTCTAGGGATTTCCGCCCACCCCCAGCTGCCTGGTGATCCTGGCTCCTGAGCCTACTCTTCCTTTGTGACAGGTGGGCCACTCTGATCTATCATTATCTCTTCTGTAGACGACAGGGCCAGTACCTTGAATCTCTGACTCCGACAAAAGCTGATACAGGTTTGTATGGTGAGCTTGTTGGACGTTTTACTGGTGCCGGTGAGAGGAGGTGGGTTTCCGTGATCCTTGTAGCAGCCAAGGTTTCCAGGCACTACAGACAAACAAAACAAGAGAATTTCACAACATCTGGCTGGGAGCACAAGGAGGAAGTGCAGCTTGTGCCCGTGGGCTCCTCCCAGTGTTCACAGCCTGAGGTACCACCCAAGCAGATGACAACAAGCCCCAAGCAGATGACAACAAGCCCCAAACAGACCCTCTGCTGCCCATCTCTGCCAAATGCCACACCATCTGCAAGAAAGCATGGCATGCAGATCCCGATTAGCAACCCAAAGACGTTTATGCTCCTTCCTCAGTGTTGGTAGAAGTTAGCACTGATGAGAACTAGGAATGATCTCTGAAGATGGAGAGGGTGGCTCCTGGCACCCATCTTCCAGGAATCTACCAAAATGACAGAAAGAGAGCAGAGGAACCCTTCTAGGAAACATGGAGGCACTCCTTTAGCTGCGTGCATGCGAATCTACAAGAAGAGTGATTCTGTAGACATCAAGGGAACGAACACTGTTCAAAGAGGAATGCTGTAAGTGTTACTACACAAGACTAGAAGTGTCTGTAACACTCAGCACACCACGGGCATCACTGTAAACAAGCAGGTGAAGGGTGAGGTTCTTGCAGAGAGAAGGGATGTGCATGTTGAAGATGTTAAGCACCAAGAACCAGGCCAGCTTCCTGAAAATGGTGACGGAGAAATGGATCATAGAAAAGAAAGCCAGGGAGAAGGCACGTGCGTTCAGCAGAGCGCTAGCCCGCTTCAGCAGACAAGCATGCTTCGTGAGAACTAATGGGCAGGAGCCTGGGCTGCACCACTATTACCCTGCCACATTTTCCTCTGGGGACAGGTAGGCTGGGCTGGCTGGGGAGCGAGCCCCAGGGATCCACCTGTCTGCCTTGGCAGCACTGGCATTGGATGCACGGCCCACCACGAATAGCTTTTTTTAAAAAAAGATTTATTTTAACTGTATATACGTATGAGTGAGTTTATGTGCGCCACACATGTCTGCAGCAGCCAGAGGGTTTTTAGTCCCTTAGAAGAATGGAAGTTACAAGTGATTGGAAGCCCCAGAAATGGGGACTGGGAATCGAATCTGGGTCCTCTGCAAAAGCAGTAAGTGATCTTAACTGTCTTCCCTCCAGCCCCAACGCCTGGCTTTTTTGTTTTTAATTGGGTTCTCGAAAATCAAACTCAGGTTCTACAACTGAGCAATGTCCACAGCCATTTATATCATTTATGTATATATGAGTGATGTAACAGGGACTCTTGGGAACAGGAAGCAGACTGGTGGGAAACAGACACAGGAGAGAGTAATGGGGAGTGAATACAGCCAAAGCACACGATATGCTGAGTCAGGTATAGGAAAGGACTCGATTGTGACGTCTTTATGGAACTTATAACTCTGTGCTTAAACCTGTGTTCTCTAAAACAGTGAATGGGTTTCCCCAAGGCCTTCTGGTGAGCAATGTGCTTTCCCGTTGCCACTGGAACAAATGACCACAAACCTCCTGTCTCCCAACATTTCATTTTCTGAAGGCTAGAAGACCCAAGCAGGTTTTTAAGAGCCAAGATGAAGGTGTCAGCAGAGCTGAGCCATATGTGAAGAATTCTAAGAAACAGCCCACATGCTTCAGTTATGGCCATACTGCTAGCAGCTCCCTCATCACATCCTCCCTCCCTGGCCTCCACTGTCCTGTCACAGGCCCTCTGACTCATGCCTTCCTGTAAATGCACTGGACCCACATGGGTAATCTCTCCTTCCCAAATCTTTAGCCACACTTGCAAAGTCTCTCATGCCATCTAAGGTCACATTCTCATAGACTTGGGACTAGGAAGTATATCTTTGGGGGTCACTATTCAGCCTACCTCAGGGAACATATCAGTGCTAAAGCCACTAGGTGCTAGATTGTTTGCCCTAGTGAAGGGTTGTCTATATTGGAGGCAAGAGGAATATAGCTATTGGACCAAGCATGGTAACTGGCTTCCACATAAACTGACTGTTTATACACCACTGTGATGTAGTAACAGTACACTTGGTCTCTGCCCACTTCCTGACACCAAGTTTCCCAACCCTCAAGACTCTGGATGACGCCTTTCTAATGAGGCACCTTGTGGTGGACCCCTGGTTAGCCTCATGGCGGGAGCCGGACACCAGGAAGACCAAGCCACAGTTAGTAACGTGGAGCCGTCAGTCCCACTCCCCAGCCTCCAAGGGAAGAGAAAAGATCTAGGGATGGAGTCAATACTTGACAGTGACTAGCTGATGAGGCCTCTGCTGAAAATCCTACAGATGGAGCCCAGAGAGTTTCTGGGTGATTAACATGTCCTTGCTGAGAAATGGCACACTCCACAGGGACAGATGCTCTGGGGATCAGATCCTTTCAGACCTCAAACCTACGGACATCTTCAGCCTACCACATCCTTTCTGACACATCAGTGAATGTGTCCCTCAAGTTCTGAGAGTTATTACAGTGGATTTCTGAACCTGAGGAGGAAGTCCACTTTGTAGACATGCCTAGAGACTCACAGCTTGTGACTGGCATCTAAATCAGGGTGTGGTCCTGTAGTGCCAAGTCTTTAGCCCCCTCCACTGATGCTGGGCATTCAGTTGTGAATGGTAAGCCATCCTGTTGGCGATGCAGGATTGGCTCCTGGAAAAAACTCACCCCTCTGGTGTCAGAATCAAGTCTGTGAATGCAGAGAAAAAAGATCGGTTTCCTTCCTGTTATCCCTGACGTGTTGACGTCTGAATAGTGTGGATGGACAGTGTGAATGGACCTGGTGAGAGGCTTCTGGGAGGTAATTAGATGAAGTCAGGAAGAGGGAGCTCCCAGGTGGGGTAAGAAGAGGAGACAAGAGCCCATTCTTCCCCTGCCATGTGAGCACTCATCAGAAACAGCCATCAACAAGGCCGGAAGAGGGCCACACCAGACCCTAGATACACTGGCACTTTGACCTTGGACTTCCCAGCTTAATGTGTCTATTAAACTGCTTGGGTCTGAGGAATTTTATTTAAAAGAAATCACACTACTGCAGGGCATTTTAGCACTTAATCCTAGCACTCAGGAGGCAGAAGCAGGTGGATCTCTGAGATCAAGGCCACCCTGGCCTACAAATCAAATTCTAGGCCAGCTAGGGCTACATAGTGAGACCCTATCTCCGCAGCCCCAATGTGCACCAAACAGAAAAGTACATATCACCTAAAACAGATCTCTGTCCCTAAAGTTCATGCCTGTGTAAGCCACCATTATATTTTTTTTTTCTTTTGAAACAATTTTTTTTTCTTTCTCAGTATGTAGCCCAGGTAGGCATCAAGCTTTTAAGAATTAAAGTATACAATAGGCCGTGTCAAAAGCCTATGGCAAAGCATCAAGGGTGGGGTGGTCTCCAGCCAATGGCACACAGAAAACTGCATCTTGTTAAAAGCCATGTGAGGTGGACAGTGGAGCTTTCCCCTTTCTGTCTTCAGATGAGACAGTCCAGCTCTGGCAACAGCCTGACTGCAGCTTTCTGAGGAACTTCAATGCACAAGACTAAGTCACTCACAGGACATAAGACAATTAATGTGACACTTTAAGCCACTAAATTTGGGGTAACCTGTTCCAAAGCATAAGTCACTAACACATGACACATTCAAACACACTTTTTTTTTTTGAAACAAGGGCATTCAATTCACAATGAGCCATGGGCAGATCAGTCTCTTAGGAACTTAAGTTTTCAATCCAAATCTGCCTGTTTTAGTTTGTTTTTATGTGCATTGGTATGAGGGTGTCAGATCCCCCTGGAATTGGAGTTACAGACAGTTGTGAGCTGCCATGTGGGTGCTGGGAATGGAACCTGGGTCCTCTGGAAGAGCAGCCCATGCTTTTAACTCAGGATTATTAGCTGAAGCCCTTTCCAAACATCCTACAGTTTCTTCTAGATCCAATTCTAAAACCATAACAGGAAAGACCAGCGAGTCTGGGGTAGTATTTTCCTTCCTGCTGTAAGACTGGAGAAGGCATGTCCAGCTTACCGAGGTGTATCTGCACGTCAGTCTTTTGAGTGTATGAAAGCATGTCTGCGTAGGAAACGTTCCTCCTTAAACCATCCAACAGCTTAGTTTACGTCTGCTGGAAGAACCAAGTGCTAGTCCAACCCTCACAGCTCCCTTTCAGCTCAGTTGCCTTTCTTCTGTTCCCTTGCGTCACACATGGTTCAACTGAAACAAATGTGGCTCTCCATACAAACTTTAAAATAAATCTCTCAAAAACAAACCAAATCTCTACAGTAGCAAGTGTAAACAGGAGCTGGGGTGGGGGCAGTCTAATCTTCAGTGGAGGCCAGGCCTGAGAATGTCTGAGGTTTGGGGCTTACACAGCTGCAGAGCCAAGCAGCTCCAGCCAGGGTGTGCAAGCTAAGCTGAGCTTGCTGAAGAGGACTTCCATATGGAGACCCGAGTGTGCCTTTAATGATTCTTACTAAGAACTGCTTGATCAGGATCATCTTGGTCATTCGCTCTGATTTTTGCCTCACTGATTCCATTATGCTCAAGTGAGCATGATATTATGTATTAGTCTGCACACAGCCCAAGACACATGCTCATAAAGGCTAAGTTTAGACAAAAGCAAGACCATAGGCTATATGAGTACAGCTGGAACCTATAAGCTTTATTCACAAAAAGCTGGTGAGCAAATCCAGGCAGCTTATGCTCTGGTGTGGGAGTGGGGTACTGACATGTACCACAAAGGGGGTCATTAGGAATCAGGCTGCCCTCTGCTGCTGTTCTACTCCACCTGAACCTTAGTGGTTTAAGGTAACGTCCTTCCCCACCCCCAAGCTTACCGCTCGCCAAACTTCTAACTCCGCGCTGCCACTCTATACTTTTTGCTCTCTCTTAGACCATCACCTCTTAAATGTCTTTTTTTCCCTCATAACCCCTTTCACCCCTCAAAAAACCACGAAACTTTGATGTGACCCAGCATGTAAAGACATATGAAACAGGGAACTAGGGAGATGCCAGCAAAACGTTTGCCTTATAACTACAAGGATCTGAGTTTGTG